TTTTTTTTTTTTTTTTAACACAAATTCAAATTCTTTTGGGCTTATCAACCCTAAATCTGAACCTTAATGGCTTGGACTGTGAGTGTTCATTATAGAGCTCAGTTTCCGCAACAACTTTGATTGTTGCTCTAAAATAGCTGGCTAAGAAGATTTAAAGATTATATAAATAAGAGTACAATCTAAGAATACCTATATGATCTAAAGCTTGATCCAACATGCTGTATTTTTACATGCCTTTTGTAATATCTGCACTCTTTTGGTTAAAGTGTGTCTTCTGTATATTCATGATATGTTTAACCGCATGCAAAAACCACACTGAAAATCTAAAGACTTTAGTTTTTTGCAATTGAAAGAATAAACCTCTACCAAATTACTCTCTTAAAATAACAGTGAAAAACAAAAACAGTGACATGATGCACAAATACATTTTGCCGTGTTAATCACCAAAAGCACACATTCAAACAAAGTTCTGGTCGGTGATGAAAATTTTGAATGACAGAACTCATTCTGTGTATTATAATCTCCTTTTACTTGCTAGAAGTGACTGAAATAAAGGGTTCCCTTGTAGAGGTGGTAAAAGTATAGAATTTTGTTCTTAAGTAGAAATACTACTGCTAAAAAAAAAAAACTCCAGTAAAAACTGAATTACTGATTCAACTTCTTTACTCAAGTAAAATTTAAAAAACAAACAAACAAACAAACAAACAAACAAATACAGGCTCTGAAATGTACTCAAAGTATGAAAGTAAAAATAGCTCTTTGGAGGATTTTTCTCTTACCTAGATTGTTTTTCTAAACAGGAAAATGTGTGCAGTCGGGGGTTAATGTGAGATTCAATAGGTTGGAGAACCCTAAAATTGGTTGCAATACCTCAGTGTGTGGAAAACAATCATAACTCACAATTGGCATGTCTGCTGTGGCAGACGGAGAGGAGTGGAGAAAGATTGGACCCGAATGCAGTCACTGATAACGGACTTGAATTGAGAGTAAGCCTTTATTACGGCAGAGCAGAATACAAACAAAAGCAAAGGGTGGCAATGAGTAAGCTAGCAAAACCTAAACTGGGAGAAACCTAAAAAAAAAATAAATAAATAAAAAAAAGAATAATGACAATAAAGCCCTGCAACATGGGAAATGCAGTTTGCAGACAATCCAGCAACAAACAGGACGACAAAGGGCTTAAATACACAGAGGGATAATGAGGGAATGAGACAGAGGAGGAGGAGAAATCACACACAATGAGACCGGGGAAATAAAACTGAAAACACTAACATAGCACACGAGACTGTAAAAGTCTCTGAGCAGTCGTTACCTTTGAATCTAACCTCTTTTCTTCCTCTCCTGTCCTGTCTTTCTTATCTTTCTCCATCTCTGAGTGAAGTTGGCTCTCTTTCTGTTCTCTCCCTGTGAAATACAGCAGCTGGACCTTTAGCTAGCAACACACTTTGAAACAAACTGCACACAAACACTTTGTGTGTTTGTGATGTTTGTTGAGCTGAGAGGAAAGCTGCATTGGAAATTAACTGACACTTAAAAAAAGGGTGGCTGTAGCTCAGGTGGCAGAGCAGGTCAGCCACTAATCAGAAAATCGGTGGTTCGATCCCAGGTTGCCTCCTGGCTGCATGCCAGGAGGGTAAGATACTAACCCCATGTTTGCCTACTGGTGGTGATCAGAGGGCCCGGTGGCGCTAGTGTCCGGCAGCCTCGCCTCTGTCAGTGCGCCCCAGGGCAGCTGTGGCTACAACGTAGCTTGCCATTGCCTGTGTGTGAATGGGTGAATGACTGAATGTTGTGTGAAGCGCTTTGGGGTCCTTAGGGACTGAGTAAAGCGCTATACAAATGCAGGCCATTTAAAAAACAATCACTTTTAATCCCTGACTTTGACACATGTCGTCTTTTTTTTCTTTTTTTAAAATTTATCCACTGGTGATTAATAAACAAACAAAGGTCCGCAGTGACGAGATAATAACTCCCCCCCCCGAATGCATTACAGCCAAAGTAATGAGCTTGCTTTGAAAACGTAATAAGTAGAAAGTACAGATATTTGTTTGAAACTGTAGGGAGTAAAACTAAAAAGTAGTCAGAAAAATCAGTTTCCTTGACATCTGCCTTTGTCTGTTGTTCAGAATGCTGACATCTGTTTCCTGTTGGGTTAGGATGATAAAAACAATGTTTATGCTATTGTCACAAGTAAATGCTATAATGTCAAGTTCCATGTGTCTCTCACTGGCGACTGACAGCACACAGCATATGAGATGAAGGAGGGGTGGTGAATCCCACAGCTGGTGTGAGATCCAGTTCATCCTCTGTGATTCCAGGTGGAGGAGTGAAACGAAAGCGCTGAATGAGGGAGGTGAAGAAGAGGAAGAGCTCCATCTTAGCCAGACCTTCTCCGAGACACATCCTGCGACCTGCAAATGCAAAGAGTTTACACTCATTTAAA